GGCAACTGCTGATGTTCACCACAAGAGTTCAGAGAAGCTGTCATCAGAGGGCTCCTCAGCAGAGGAGTTGGAGTCCTTGAGTAATAACCCATAGGATGCAGAGGCTGGCAGGGTCTCCAGTGATGAGTCCAACAAAGATGAGGATGATGCATTTGGATGGGGTGCAATGAATCTTAGGCAATCAACTCATCCTGGCATGCATCAGATGTTATTATGGTATTGGCTCAACATTCTTTGTTAGGCTTCTCCCAAGAAATGATGACAAGCAATCCTATTCACCACAATTCCTTACCCCCTGACCACAAGTTTCAGTACTCATGCAACAAGGATGACAATGTGGCTCTGTGAAGCTTACAATCCAAGGACAAGGCTCAGCCAGAGGTATGAAAATGCCATTCCTGCTAGCTGTATTTATTCAGATTGTTATTTTAGGGTTCCCAATGTGGTGCTGTTGTTGATGTTCTTGAATGCCACCATCACACTAATGGCCATCCTTCTGTTCCTGATCATGATCTTCTGACCCTTGTGCACAACTTGGTCAACAAAGTATCTCAGCACTGTCACACACCAAAAGTGTTTGGTGAGGTGGACATGGATACAGCTGATGAATGGAGATGAAGACCATAGCCCTCATGTGAAGAAGGACAGCCAGAAATGTCAGCAGTCATCCCTTGCACAAGAACAAGTCATCAGTGCCAAAGAAAAAGAAAGGGAGTGAGTTAAGCACTGGTTAAAATTCTTAAGTGCCTGTGCATGGCATTCCAGTTTTTGACATATCTCCACCATTTCTGCAGATACCAAGACCATTCCCACACTCACTTGTAGTGCTCAGCCACACAATCTTACCTTCCAAAATTGGAAAGGATTTGTGCACTCCCTCCAAAAGACACTCATTTCACTAAATTCTTCTGATATGGCTGCCTCTACATCAATCATTTCACTTGTCCCCTTTGCTAGGGACCATGGCTACATATCTCTGCCAGGAATTCCTACCAGCTTCCATCCTGAAGCATCCTGGTACATCCCACCCTTGTCTGTGCCCTCTCAGCCCATCCAGCTTGGACAGCATGTTCTTTTTGTCAGTATGACCTCTAGGAGAATGTTCTTTGGTCACCTCAGGTCTGTCATTCACTTGGAAACATCTTATGTGGTTGTTTCAGTCTCTCCAGTCCAAGAAGCATATGGATTCTTCCTCCCTGCTCCCTGCAATGTCTTCATACCAGTCTCATCTATCATTCTTCCAAGATTGCAACAGCTACAGTATAATCTACTGTTCTCCACTCTCCCTGATTGCATCCATGATGAGTATGATGCACATCTTGCCTCCTGGTTGCAAGATATGGCAGAAGACACTCCCCCTTCATCCTCTCTTCCAACAGAGCCCCATTCATGAAATTTTTATTTTCTTCACTGAGAGGATGGTTTGGGGGGGAAAGTTGCAATCCCCTATGCTCCTGTCACCCCTCAGACCCCCAAAGCTTGACCCCTGTTGACATCTGACTCACCCTGTCCACTTTTGGATGTATGTACTATATTGGCATCAGATCAGCACTGCCTCTCTGTCATCCCACCTTGGCCTAGAAGCAATCTCTTTGAGATGTGACATGCACAGCCTCCCCATAATGTGATTCCAGTGCACTTTCCCAGTTCCTGACATTACTTGACTCATACTTTGATGTTCTGACTGTCTTTGACTCACCTATCACCAATACTTACCAATCTTTTGACTTTGTTTACTGATTCTTCACCTTTTGACTTGCTAATCCTGACCAATGCTTTCCAAGATGATTACCCATTGCTTACATTCCTTACTCATCAGTTACCAATCACTTACCAAGTGTTTGCACCTTGTTTTCCAAGGGCAACACCCCTGTACTGTATATAAATCACTGTACTTAGATAGCAAAAAAAAAAAAAGAAGATATCAGAGAGCCCCTCTTGCTCACATTTTATCATCACTCAGTAATTCATTCCGCAGCTTTGATAGTTGAGACTTTATTAAGGGTCTAACTATTGTCTACTTCACTTATCCTTGTCTATCATCAATATACTTTGCTCCAGGCCCTCCCTGAGCTCAGTGCAGCTTAGAACATCAAATTAAGTCTCCATCCATCCTTCTGAAGGCTGACAGCAGTCTACCCTATCGCTTTCTATCACATTCTTGCTCCCTCTTTGCCAGGAGCACCCCCAACCCTCAGCACTCACCCTTGAGTGTTGTAGCTTGCAAAAACCCACCCAAATCAAAAGTTCTACCATCTAGGTACTGCATAGGCACACCACCACTTGCTCTTTTTGCCTTTTGTGTTGGTTTTGGTCAGTTTTCACCACTGAACCACACTTTGACTCACAGCGTGCCAGAGCCCCTTGTATCTCCAAGAAAGCTAAGGATGAGGGCCCATTGCCTTCACAACTGAGATTTTACAAGGCAGTATGGAAGGACTGTCTTGAAGATGCTAAGTGAGAATGCAGGGCTGCACATGCACTTTCTAACCCATTCCCATCAAAATCTCATGACCTCAACCTCTCCATAACAGAGGTGCTTGTCACTGTCATCATTGAGTGGAATCAATGTGGTGTGCAATTTGAAGATGGTGAGTAACAATATTTTTGCTTTATACATGTCTCATTATCCTGACTTCATAGGTTACTGGCCTGACCACAAGCAAGATATGGCATGCCTCATAAGTAGTCCCATCTTTCAGTTACAGCTACTGACATACCACTGGTAGCTCCTTGGTGATATATCTACCTGGCATTCAGAATTGAAGTCAGTTATGCTGGCAACCATGCCATCTGCCTACAACCTTATCCCTTCTTCTGATGTTGCACCACAGGTTCATGTACAATGGATATAGACCACTGCTGCAAAGCTCCTTGACAACTCACTTTTCCTGCAAGATGGTTTCAACAAGAATGTACATTCATGTGGTTTGTTGTCTGCACTACTAATGGATTGGTTTATCAGGGAAAAACCAGGAATTTCGCTCACCCTGCCCTCAAGGAAGCTGTCATACAATTCTACTATACTGGGACCTATCAAATTGTGGATAAGCATCCTGAGTCCTTCAACAATTCAGTTCCCCTTTCCTGTCTGGCTCTTGTTGCAGCCACAGTGAGTTATTTTACACCCCAAGTCACTGCAACTCAAACTTTTCTCATAGTATCATTGTGTGTTGGATGGATTTGTGAAGAACAGCACAGGAAAGATGATGCCTCAATTCTCCAGCAAGGCTTACAATTCCATCGTCCATGGCATGATGAAGGTGCTGAATGACATCCTTCATAATCCCTATCATGGTGCAAGGTTGTGTGATCAGCTTTCTCAGTGGGTGAAGGAAGGATGGTAAGTACTGGGGCAGCCAATGTACTTGTGCTGACTCCTCATATCAGGGCTGCACTGCAAGAGGTTGCTTCGAATGTAGAGAGGTACCAGCACATTCAGGCAGTCCTTGTTTGATTTCATAATACCTAGTCCTGTCATACCTGTCATTACATGTAGTATGCAATTGATGCCAATGCTCCTGTTCCTGTCATACCTGCTGTGAACTGTTCCTAGTTGTGGAGTGATCACATGTTTGCAAAGTAAACATTGAGATGGGGAGTACTGGACAACTCCCCAAGGAGAATACAGTCTGGCCAGTTTTGTACAGTGACATCTAAGCATGAAAGTTCCATAGCAATCCATAGTAAGTAAGGTACTGGACAAAGTTCCATGACAATGTGACCATTCCATAGTAACAGGCAACTAGCCATAGCAAAAAGTGTTGTTGGGTGCATCTGTCCAGCCTGGACCTAGCTAGGGGACTCTGTGTATTATGGAGCACTGTGGAGAGCTTCACAGCTCAAAGTGACTTACTGATGTTCACTGACCACTTCCCTGTCAACATCCCACCCATGGATGCCCTGCCCAATGATGTCCTCTTCTGTGTACAGCCCAAGGTTGACCCCATGTAGTCCATTTAGTCACAACTTATAGGTAGCCTGCATGCCAAAATGCCAACACTTATATAGACCCTGCGACAGGCCTGTCTAAATAGATTAGCCATGACACATGGACAGGCCTGAGGGCCTATAGTGAGAGCAACATACATATGGGCCCATAAATGCAATTCCACAACATATGGGAGGGCCTGTGGAGGGTAAGGATGCTGCAACATATAGACAGGCCCATGACCAAGTAAGTATGCTAAGCTACTGTAAGACATGGATGGGCCTGCCTATTGTATCATGAAGAAGGTCACAACATATGGACAGGCCCACCCATCATATGCTTTATAGGGTCACAACATAAAGAGGGGCCCATCTATGATAGATTACAGAGTTGGCAACATATGGAAGGGCCTGTCTTTGGGATAATATACCCCTGTCACAACAAATAGACAGGCCCATCCATAGCAAGATGTATGTCTGTTGCAACATAAGGACAGGCCCCTCAGTAATATCATTGACAGTGTCACAACACATAGACAGGCCCATCTAGTAAGATACATCCCTGCCACAACATAAAGATGGGCCCATCAGTAATGTCATTTATAGCATCACAACATATGGATGGGCCCTTCTGTAATACCATTTATACCATCACAACACATGGGTGGGCCCATCCATAGTAAGATGTGCCTGTCACAACACATGGACAGGCCCATCTAGTAAGATCCACCCATGTCCCAACATAAAGACAGGCCAGTCAGTATTATCAATTATATTGTCACAACAGATGGACAGGCCCATCTAGTAAGATATGCCCCTGTCGCAACATGAGATGGGCCTGTCAGTAATATCAATTACACAGTCACAACACATGGATGGGCCCATCAATAGCAACATGTATGCCTGTCACAACATAAAGACAGGCCCATCAGTAATATCATTTATAGTGTCACAACACATAGATGGGCCCATCTAGTAAGATGCACCCCTGTCACAACATAAAGACAGGCCCATCAGTAATATCATTTATAGCATCACAACATATGGAAGGGCCCATCTAGTAAGATACACCCCTGTTGCAACATGAGACAGGCACATCAATAGCAACATGTATGCCTGTTGCAACATAAAGAGGGGCCTGTCAGTAATATCATTTACAGCATCACAGCACATAGACAGGCCCATCTAGTAAGATGCACCCCTGTCACAACATAAAGACAGGCCCATCAGTAATATCATTTATAGCATCACAACATATGGAAGGGCTCTTCAGCAGTATCATTTATGTGGTCACAACATAAGGACAGGCCCTTCAGCAGTATTATTTATATGGTCATAACATATGGATGGGCCCTTCAGTAATATTGTTTATATCACCATAAAACAAGGACAGGTCTGTCTAGTAAGATCCACCCCTGTCACAACATAAGACAGGCCCAACACCAATAGCACATATAGCATCACAACATATTGATTGGATCACAGCAAAATATTGAGGCAAGTGTCCTGACATGCTGTAATTTTCCAACAAGCTGCAAGTGGCTTGCCCACTATACAACTCTGACCTCATCCACCCCAAGCATGAATACTATGCAAGACACATCTAAAACCCCCTACAGATGGTGAATGGAACTAACAGACTGCATTGTGTCATACATGAAAGCCAGATTTCAAGAGGAGGTATTGAGCAGACCTCATGCCCTTCCAGATATATTGATTCCATTTCTGGTGTTATGTGAAGCAGATTGCATATCATCAGTAATCTCACAGGCCTATCGTTGCCCAAGTAAGTCCATCATAATGGTGTGATGGAAGTTTTCATCTTTCCATAGTCAATGTCAGGAAAAATCAGGGTGGAAAAACCTGCAATGCAGAAGCTGCTGAGAGATACACAGAAGTGACTGAGCCATCCATTCTGGTGACTGACTCAAACACCATCCATGTTTGGTATTTGCCAGATGCTCTCAGCCCAAAAAGAAGGGTAAGGGAATGCAGAATCTCATATTCTACTGACTTCATGCAATGGCAGGCCAACATATGGAACTGCCTTCATCTTCTGAGGGAACCACTGTGGGAGAGCATAAAGGCTTCCCCACAGGCATGGTGGATGGACAAGTCATATTTCTGCAATAATGCTAAGTTGAAAGGTGCCATCAACCTGTCACCCACATGGTTTCAACAGGGTCATGGGGTGGGTGATCATTTCTTTCCTTGTGAATAAAGCACTCATCTGTCTTGAAGCCCCAAAATGGCTTCCTGGAAGCCTCACAGCTGCTCAAATCCAGGATGGAAAACACTTCTACAAGGGAATGGGTCGACCAAATGTCTGACACCAATGCCCTGTTATCTGCAATCCTGCATGTCATCCATCCACAAATGTATGCAGATGGCAGGGAAGCATTGATCTGCCTTGGCAAACAGGTGGAACAGTGGGCAGATTCAGATATGAGCTCCATACTGCTGATATGGAGCTCCACATATAGCAGCATGTCTGTGATGGTGAATTGGGCAACTTGTTACCACAGGGATATCAATGGATGGGATCCATGGTATGACATGCTGGTAACCATGGGTGACTACCCACCCTTGGACTTTGTCATTCCAATGTTGAATCTGTAGCTGTGCTACAACACAGAGACGATCATTGCATTTTCAGGTTCAGCATTGGAGCATGGGGTGGGAGCTGTAGACAGTGCCAGAGCATGCCTGGCATACTACATGCATGCCAATGTACATCAGTTGGTGCACATTCCCATGTGTCAATCACTGCAGATGGATGACCTACAATCTAGACCAGTTGCAACTGGAGAACTGTTGATTTGAAGCTGCAAAGTTTCATGTAAGATTTAGTAGGCAATGCAGATCTTGTGTTTTATTAGGATATGCTGGCTCTTGAACATTGGATGGGTGGTGTTCCCAAGATTTTGCAAATGGGCAGGTGCTTCAACACCATAGATTGGGCAGGTACTCAGAGCTAAAGGGTGTGCATCATAAACTGCAAAAAAAATAAACCTACTCAGGCCATCATGCAGATGGGCAGATTGTTGGACATCATGTGGATGGGTGGGGGTTCAGACATCATGCAAATGGGCAGCATCTCATAAATGATCAACATTCACAGCAATGTATATTCAACCAACTCCACAGTCAAAAACATGTAAACTATTGAAGCAGCATGCCCAACAACCTGTGCAACGCCCACCACCTAGTGTAGGAATGGTCAATTTGTTCACCCTGACTGTTGACAACATCGGCATATTTCCAAATATTTTCGATGCAGTAGTTTACCTGCTCCTCAATATGGCCATAAAGACAGTCTGCAATTGGTGCCTCAGGCAATGGCCATAAGCCCTGGGCCATCATCAACTATTTGCAGTGACAAGAATAAGTAACATACCTTAAAAAAATCCCAGGCCATGGAAAACAATCCCTTGCCTTGCAATCTTTGGGAATCCTGCTGCATATTCCTTGGAACGATATAGCCACCAAGGGAATGCAAAGCTAGAATTGGGATCAGCTGCATGTGGGGTCCAATGCAGGACTGATGGTGCTGATATTGTTGATTATGCTAAATGCACTAAGGGGAATTAGCTGCATTTGATCATGGAAGCTAACCTCATCATCTTGGTGTCTGAGGTATGCATGGTAGCATGCCAGGAGGGGAGGAGTATAACTGGCATGCAACACCATCACCAGAATCAAGCTATTAAGCTGATTCTGAAGGAATTATGTATCAGTCCCACATTGTGAAAAATTGATGTAAAACCTACCAAGTCCATTGCTAGGTTTGCAAACCAATGTGCATGGGCCATCCATGCAATATCAGCAGTCTGCTTCAGATGTACAGAGGCCACCTCGATCTGGCATGCCAAGTAGAGGATACCCATCTCTACCACAGACTGGCAAGATGGGTGTGATTGGCTGGTGATGAATGGCTCGGGACAATTTTCAAAGGCAGAATGATGGATAACAAATGACTTCCATCAAATTGAGCATATTGACAAGTCAAAGGCCCTGAGAGGCTGCACCATACTGGTCCCTTGCATCTGTGCCCAATTCTCTCGCAATGGCATTTGCAGCCTGCACAAGGTGCCTATCAAGGGTGGGATTGAACAGCATGCCACTGGGAGTGGTGTTTCTGTGATAGTGAGATACTGATACTGTGGCATGTAAGGCATGCAGGACTAAAATTATCAATGTCCAAGGTGTATCAGATTAAGCTCATGCCCATACCTTGATTGCAACATGGAACAGGTGCCAATCCCCATTGTTCCATTTGAAGAGATTGCTGTGCAGATGGAAGTTCACCTACATAATTGATGGATATCACTGATCACATGAATAGAACCAAATAAATGCTCACCATTGCATATTTCCTCAAAAAGATCCCTCATCTCTGATTGTTCAGGCATGCCAAAAGTCAAACAGTTTGCGCCATTGTCCTCATCCACTGCCAAGTCAAAAGATTTGACAGGTACATTTGAAACGAGTGGGGGAGGCATTGGGTCCCTCATATCCTGCAATTGAGCAAGCAGGTTAGTCAGAGAATCAGGTCGAGGAGATTGGTCCCTCAGATTTGATGATTCATGGGTGATGGGCAGAGGAGATGATTCCCGCACATTCTGCAAGTCTTCCAGAAAATTGACCTGCATAGTAATGTCTTGTGCAGGTGTTGAAGACCTGTCCATCCTGTTTAATTTCTCATGTGTGACTGGCAGTGCCAATGGTTCCCACACATTCAGCAATTGCTCAAGTAGATCCATGTTCATACCATCCACTGGGGGAGCAGTTGGTTCCTGTTCATTCAGGAACCAATTCATCAAGTTGTTGTGTGGATCTATTACTAGAAAATTAGTTTGTTTGTTAGCTTGAAGGGCAATCATGCCAACTCACTGGCCACAATTCCACCCTCTGCCAGAGCAGTTGGCTCCCTTTCCTGCAGGAACTGATCCACCAAGCTTTTGCATGAATCTATAGCGAAAGAATGTTTGTTGTTTAGCTTGGAGAGAAATCATGTTCACTCACCAGCTGCAATATCCATGTTTGACCCCACCATATCCACCCTTCCACTTGAGACAATTGGTGGAGGGGTTGGCTCTTACAACTCATGCAGTTGTACTAGCATCTCCTCCAGATTTTTGGACTGCTTCACATGGGAGCTAGATTGTCCTTGGCTCAATTGGTCTTACATTAGCTGTGGATGGCTTAGGTTGCTGGATCCAACAATGAAGACAACCTCACCTTGATGATGGAAATGAACTTGGTAGGGACTGTTTGGTGGACATATTTGATGATGATGGGTTCACTGATAGGTCGATGATCAATCAAGATTTAAACTTGTAGGAACAATGGTGAGAATATCATTCACACCATGGGAAGCAAGGTTGGACAATGGCAGATGGAGCCAAATTTTGGGTAACAGCAATACATGAGAGATGAGCAGCAATATCTCCCTACATAGATAGCTACCAGTTGCTTCCACATGGCCAATACATAGACCTGTCCTGCTCAGCTCTCCACTCAATTGTCCTGCTCAACCATTCCACTTAACTATCCCTCTCTCTGATATCAAAGATGCCTCTCACAACCACCATGGTGTCATGAGCTACTATACATGCCATACACTTGTATTCTAATGTGTCACACTAGGCTAAGCCCTCTATAGACTGTACATGAGTTCCAAAAAAGGTTTCTGCTCTGACTGTTTGAGGGATTTGACAACTACTTCTACTTCTGAATTGCTGCCTGTTTGCTTGCACAATCTCTTTGCATCAGGAGATGGAACATCTGCATCTGGCCTTGCAGGAGCCTTTCTGACATGAGGTGACTTCCAGGTGCTCCCAGGGAATGCCCTGTTTCACATTTGCAGATGCTGCATTGGTGGTCACAGATCCATTATGGTTGGACTTGGATGAGTATTTGGCCCCAGGTGGACATTAATTCATGTCTGGCTCACTTCAATTCTGACAGAGCCTGCTTGACACACAGCACAAACTTGTTAGCCATAACAGCTGATTCAACATGACCAAACTTGCCTGGTGTGTGCACTTCAGGGTGGATTTCAGCTTTCCACCTTTTTTTCTGCTCAGTTGACCCCTCCTCAGTTGGGTGGTCAGTGAAAGGAATGCTCTCCAATCCATCTTCATCTGCATATTCTGAGTGGTCCTGTAGTTCAGTTGTGTACTCATTCCCTGAGTGCAGATCAGGGTTTGCTGTGAATACAAGTTACAGCAGGAAGCTCACTATTCAGGGATGTTGCCAATTTTCTTTGAATTGGATAGGGTGGGCAAATAAGTGTCTTCATCAGCTTCATCATCAGAATCATGGCCATTGCTTTCCCTGCCCATTATAGTCAGTTAGTGCACTTTATTTTGTGGATGATGCACTGGGGTCTTTGCATGGGCTGGAGGTGCCAGAGAGCCACTCACTATGGGAACCATCAGCTGGTGGGGGATTTGAGTGGGAATGAGAAGGGAATGGTGTCTTGGCACGGTTTTGCCTCCTGCCAGATACCTGAAGACCAGAATTGCATTAGTGCTGATCTGTCATGCATGAAAATCACACATGGTGCACCTTTTTAGTGGAGGGACCATCTGTTCCAACATTGCTCACCTCAGCCTCACTGTGATCATCCAAACTGTCATCCATGCTGTCATCTGCACTATCATCCATGCTATCATCTGCCACTCCCTCTTCCTGTGCTTTACCCTTGCCCTTGACATTTTTCCTTCTGGGATTCTTTTTGCATTTGGGGGCAGGTGTCTTTCAGGTATTTCTGCTGCCTCACAACCTGGAGGGGTGCCAAAGTTCTATCCACCAGTGGCTGCAGCTTCCAGATTGATCAATCCATTTCTGAAATCCAAACACATCATTTGGATGGGATTCCTGTCACTTGTGCCAAAAGGACAGCAGCTGGGTAGCTGTTGTCATCCACATGTGACTTGGGTCATGGTCAAAGGTAAATCCTTCAGGAAGATGGCAGGCTGCTATCATTTCTGCTTGATGATGACCAAAATTCTTGAATGGCACTGCTGATGAGGGATTTCCACATGCTAATCCTGATAGCACTCATCAGAGATTGAGGACACTAAATACTCTGGCCACTCATGGTAGTGAGCAGTCACAAATCCATGAACCATTTTTTGTAGTTGGTCCCAGCTAAGGCCATGCAATTTCTCCTATCCAAATCTCTCCATCAGCATTTTTCACCAATTTCATGGAGTCAACCTTGCCAGTCCTCATTGCTTTGGCCACTGTCTTTTTCTGAGCACATTTCAGGACTTGACTCACCATCATGCTTGGGCAGTGTTCCTGGTTCCTCAAATGTTTCCCCAAGGTACTCTTGCCAGCTTCCTTCCAGTGTGCAGACATCATTGAAGGGGATTCCATCTGTGAATTTCATTATTGAAGTCCATACTGTCATTGCATGAGTCTTACCTAGGCCTAGAGGAGAATATGGTGGACTCATGTGCATGCCTGTATAGTTCCCTCCTCATTTTTCCACCCAGCCATACACACTATTTGCATTCTGCAATACCTCCACATCTCCATCACAAAGTTTTGGACATACTTGTACCCATACTTGGCTGCATTCCTGGGAACCAGGATAAATTGAAGACTGGGAAGTTGACCTCATACAATCAGCACCTTGCTTTTGTCTCTGGGCATGGGGCCTTCCCACCCATTCCACCTTTCCACTATATCTTCAGCTGCAGCCAATTGTTCCTCCATCAGGTTGTCCTGAATAAAAGCTGTCAATGCATTCTGATACTGTTGGATCTGCTTGCTTCCATGGGTATCACCTTCTTCTACTTTCATTTTTGCAAGCTTCTCCTGTATTTGCTCTTGGTACAATTGCAGACCACTGCCCACACAGAGTATTTGTAACTGGATCTAAGGGTAATGCAGGGCTTCTTTGAACAGAGGGGCTTTTTCAACCAATCTTGTATTAGCTA